AGCCCGGGAGCCAGAAAGTGAGCAAAGCTGCAGCAACGCAGCCGGGGAAGCCTTTCCCCTTCCTGCCAAATAGTGAGCCCCAAGGAAGTCACCCAGCTCCAGCGCTCACCCCCGAGCAGGAGCGCGGCTCCTTCCCGCTGCCTCCCGCACCTCCGCACGCCAGGGAACAAAGTCCGGGAGAAGGGAAACTCCCGTGCGAGCCCAGCAGCGAGGGGGATTCAGGCGAGCTCACACACGGCTCCGCCCGGCTCTCCCCTCCTCACCAAGAGCAGGCACAATCACAGCACGGTTACAGAGCCCACAGAGAAATGCTCTGAGCCACCGGTATCTTTCTGTAAATAATACAATTAGATACTGCGAACGCAGTTATTACAACAGTTTACAACAGAAACTGCAACAGGGTAAACCTGCCGTTTACAAAACACGAATCTCACGTAAAAAGAAGAGAAAGCAACAGGTTTTTACTGTGCTGAGCAGGATCAGTAAGACCTGACAGATACCCTTGAGCAAAGCCTATAAAAGAAGTCTCCCCCCGTTTAGTTAAAACTACCAGCAAACAAAACTAATCAGCCCAAAATTATGGGTACTAAGGAAAGCTTGTTTAGCTCCCTGAAGCAACCCACAGGCAAAAAGAGAATCCTGGTAGAATCTCACTGACTTAAAGTGCAGAATTGTTAATAAGCCACAACTGAGGACCACCAAAACAGTCACACTTACATCGTCTCTCCAGTCTTAGCCACATGACAAAGAAACTGATCCAGTATTGGACACACTTCCTTCTTCCCTCTCTTCTCAAAATCTGTTGGCATGAGAACGACACAAAAGGAATGGTAAAAGAAGACGGGACAGAACAACAATTCACAATAGTTTGCTATTTGCTTTAGCTATCAGTACAGCTCCCACACAAACACTGTCGCACTCTCACAACGCTCCGGCTGTTCCCAAGAGCTCCACCAGCTTTCCCAGCCCTGTAAAACACTTAATATTTTTCCAGTGGAGAAACCGCACGCACCGGAGTATCAGAAGTTGATTTGCAACTTCTTTTGAGCAGCTACAGCAAAGAAAGAGGCCGATTTCCTCAGGCTGAGCCCAGCACAGGGTGGGCTGGGGAGGGAGAAGGGGACAGGTCCAGGCAGGGCCGGGATGCGGGGAAGGGGCCGGGAAAAGGGGGGAAGGGGCCTGGATGCGGGGGAAAAAGGCAGGAACACAGGGGAAGGGGGCGGGATGCGGGGAGAAAGGGCAGGACCGCGGGGGAAGGGGCCGGGACGCGGGGGAAGGGGCGGGCAGGCCGGGCAGCCCCGGGCCCGCAGCCGAGGGTCCCTGACGCCCCACACTCAGCCCTGAGGGTCGCCGGGCAGCGGCACCGGGGGCTCTGCCCTCCCCTTCCCCACAGCGACCCCCGCGCTCTCCCCGCTCCGTGGGACCCCTCGCGGCGAGCAGCCCCTCCCCACAGCGCGGGGACCCCGTCGGGGGTCGGGAGGGGGGCACCCACCGCCCTCAGCGCGGGGCGCTCCCCCCCACAAGCTCTGAGGAACCCCCCCCCGTCTCCCCCTGAGCGCGGGGACACCGCTCCCCGACACCCCGCCGCCCAGCCCCCGCCCGCCACCTTTCAGCGCCTCCTGCAGCCTCTCGACGTCCATGGTCGGCCCGGGCGGTCCCCCCGCGGCTCCCCCGCCCCAGCCCCGCAGACCGGGCCGCGCTCGCAGCCGGACCCCGCGCTCAGCGACGCTCCAACATGGCGCCCGCGCCGTGCCCGTGCGCGGCCCCGCGGCCCCGCCCGCCGGGGGCGGCACCAGTGGGCGGGGCGGGGCCGAGCGAGGGGGCGGGGCCGCCCCGAAGGGAGGCGGTGGCGCGTGAGGGGGCGTGGCCGCGCGGCCGTGAGGGAGGAGGCGGGAAAGGCGCGGGAAAGGCTGACCCCCCCACCAGGGAGGCTCTGCCCTTCTCCTCCTCTTGCCCGCGGGTTATCGCCCTCCCCTTGCCGCCTCCGACAGGCAGATCCTCGGGGAAGGGGATGGGAACGCATAGCCTCCCCCGCGCCAGGCTCTTGGGGAGCTTTTGTGCCTGCCTTCCCCCTCAGGCTGAGGGCGACTGCGCCTCCCCCACGCTTACCAACCACATCCCTGTTTGTGCAGGGTCGTGCCCGTCTCCCTTTTATTGTTTAAGAAGATCACAGAATATCCCGAGTTGGAAGGGACAGACAAGGATCATCCAAGGCCAACTCCTGGCCCTGCAGACCCCAACAATCCCACCCTGTCCCTGAGAGCGTTGTCCAAACGCTCCCTGAGCTCTGACAGCCTTGGGGCTGCGACCACCGCCCTGGGGAGCCTGTTCAGTGCCCGACCACCTTCTGGGGGAAGAACTTTTCCCAGTATTTGATCTAAACCTCCCCTGACACAGCTCCAGGCGTTTCCTGGGGCCCTGTCCCGGTGGCAGAGCTGCCCCTCGGGAGGACTCCAGACCCCCATGAGGTCCGACCTCCATCTCCTCCAGGATGAACAGACCGAGTGCCCTCAGAGACTCCAGCCCAGCCCTCTCAACGAACCGGAAAAGATTTCCATTCACAGCAAATCATCTTTTCCTTCCATTTTCAAAGGTGAAACAATGAAACACAATCCTAGAATACAAAAAGCTTGTAGGTAGTTTCATCACCGATTTGTTGCGTGATCTCAGGCAAAGGGGGTGAGGCAATCACACCTCAGCTTCTTCATTAATGAAACAGAAATGATAATTACTCCTTGTAAGGTATTTGACACACCTTGTAATAACAACACACACAGAGAGGATGATTTCATTTTGCGTCAGTTCCCAACCTGCTTGTATTCACGGAGATCCAACAATGAGAAAAGTCACCTTCTTGGGGAAGATGTGGTGGTTTAAACATTTAACTAAAGAACAATGAAAAACTGTTTTACAATCCAGACTTAGTTTTACTTCTTGCTTTAAACTCACACAAAGTCCCATTCGCATTTACATTTTAGATTTCTTTTAAGCTTCTGCAAAACATTTATTCTGAGAGTGATAGGCTGTCCAACCCCTGGGCATGGATCAATAATTAAAATGCTGTGGGGTGTTGGACCAGCAGATACTTCTGAGCCCAGTAATGCAGCTTAGGTTAGGAATCTAGAGGTCCCTGACCCAATCTTTCATTCATTGATAATGTGACAGCAATTTGTAAGGTATTGACACCCAGTTTGAACCAAAATTGATTGTTGTGCTTTGAAAAAATCTGTAGCAATTCAATACAGCATCAAGCGAGATGCAGCGGAATCCAGTGAGAATAATAAGAAAATGAGAACAATGATGTTTTAAGTCCCACCTAGGTCTTCAGACAATATTGTACATCGATACACATCAAAGGATTTACAAAAGGAGTGTAGTGATTTTGTTTGGTTTGATTTACAGCTGCAGAAAATGACCCTAAAAGTTGTGTCTCTGTTTTCCATTCAGAATTGAAGGTTTTTTTGTTTTTTTTCTTTGAAGTATATCACAGCCACTTTGAGACAAATTACGTCCCTCTTCTAGGAAAATGACTAAAAATCTTTAATGTGCTTTTAAAAAATCTGGAAGACTTGGAGTGTTTAAAGATCAGAACAGCTCACTTGCAGTGCCTTAAAAAAGGGGCTGAAAACAGAAAAGTGGTATTTGTGGGAGTTGGTATTTATTTTGAGAGTACCCACAGGAATAAGGAAGAGTTGGATGTGATAAACATTCCTGGCTTTACCCGGGTCAGCCACTGACACAGAGTCCCCATGGATTGTCCCCTATTAATCCAAGAGCCCAGGGCAAACCAGTGCCAGGGCAGTTTTCTTTCCAAGCTGCTTTCTCACACCTTTCTTTCTTCCAGTATATCCCTGGGACAGGAGCTTCCTGCGGATCACTCCACAAACTACAAAACTTGTCAGATTAAAACCAGACCTGTTTTTTCACCTGGAGGAACCTGTATTCAAACCACAGCACCCTTTGGAAGCGCTGAGCAGGATGGGAAGAACATCTTTTCTTAAAGGTGTGTACCCTGAGAAGGCACCTGCTTTGCACAGTTCTAACCTCCACAGCAGGGAAGGATTAGGGAAAGATATTTCTGCAAGAACAGGTCTTTTTAAAAACAGGGTTGTGTCATTTCTGCATCCTTATTTCAGTATTACCAAAATATTTTAGTTCCAAGACAGTGTTCCACATTTTAGGACTATACCATAGTTTTCACAAAGTAACAGCAGCAATTAAGGTACTTTTATAGAAACATAAAAGTCAACACAAAATATTTTACCTTGAAAGAAAACATTAACAAAGTGCTTTGCTCACCTTCAATGCCGATTCTTATTTTGGTGTTTTGTCTCCATTTTCATCTCAAAGGTAAGTGTTGACAGTTTGGTTTTCATTCCAGTCCAGAATGAAAACAAAATTTCCAAACATTGTTATTTCTTTTGAAGCCCAAAGAGCAATTCCTTATCTTGTGCCAGCGGGAGATGCATCCATACGGATCCCAACGGATCCCACCGTAGTTGCCTCAAGAGCAGTGGGGGAATGTTACCAGCCTCCAGAGGGACAATCCATGTACCTGTCCTGTCCCATTCCACCTCTGGAGGGTTGCTCAGTGTCTATTCCCTGCTGTTGTATCTGACTGTACCTGACAGAGAGGAGAAAAACATTCCCCGACAGTTGGCTCTGGAAATGCTGCTAAATGAAATGGAGAAACAGCAAAGAGTAAAACCATTTCCCTTGAGACCAGGTTCTGATCTACGCTCACCGTAACACAACTGGAGCTGCAGCCTGACACACGAGCACTTTGGGGAAAGTTAAATGTATTTGTCTCTTTCTATCCAATATCCCACTCTCTCGCTACAGTAAAATTGTAAAAGAGGAACATTTATCTCTGTTCTGTGCTGTCATACCCTGTGTACATACACTGTAACACCAATTCTAAACTCCATCCCAACCAGACCCAGCACACACACACACACACACACACACACACAAAATCTTGTATTTGAAAGAAAACCAGCAAATTACAGAGCTTGCTTAAAACTTCATTTATTTGTACCGTTAGCCAAAGGAGTGTGCTCAACCCAGAGATGCACTGCTTGGCCTCCTTGGGAGCTACAGCAGTCGGGGCACTCGTAAAACACACAAGCAATTCAACGACAGAGAAAAGGTACATTTTACACACACAGACACACACACACACACACACACACAGAGCAGTTTCCAGTCTCCACTGCAGGCAAAATGCTGATGAGCTCTATCCAAGCCCACCTTGTATCATCCAACAAACAGCTAAACCCCTTCCCCTTGCAGAAACGATGCCACAGCTCTTCGCTGTACAACGTGCACTGGCACCTTCCAACCTGGCGTGGGGCTCAGGGGAGGGGCTCAGCAGCTCCTCACAGAAAGCCCCTGTTTATCTGCCCTCAGCAAGTTCAGGGCTCAGGGCTGCACCTGCCCTTCCCACCACAGTGGAAAAGGTGATGCTTTTCCTTTGCTGCCAACACATTCCGTTCTGTCCATGCAAAGAAAAGATGACACTGCTCAAGGTGTTACATTAGTGAAGGTGTTTACGTTATGCCATTGGAAATAACCAAAATACAGGAGAGGAAGGGGAAATGAGGACATAAAGTCTTTATGAGTATTTACACATCCCATTACTAAGATAAATGAAGGCTAATTAACAAGGAATTAGCCACAAGTATGAAATACAAAATGAATTAAAACTGGCTTCTAAATAAGATGAATATTACAACCAACTACTGTTAGAACTAAAATATAACATGGGTTTGGAAGATGCAATAAAATATAAATTAATAATTCTAACAACAAGAAAAAACCAAAATTACATAATTGTTTTAAAACACTTTGGAGAGCTGAAATTATTGCTTTTTTTCCTCAGAAAAAGCCCAGCAGGGAGGAACCTCCCCACTCTTCCTGCCAGCTGGTATTACATTAACAAAAGTCTTCATGTAAAGCAAATACTTTATATATTTAATAGCTGTTGAGAACATAACACAGTTCTTCCTAAACAAAATGTAGCACCTCCTGTAAACATTAAAAGCACTGCTTTAATCTCTAACCAGTTCATATGCAATAATGCCTTTGTTTTGTAATGAATTCCACTCCTTCATTTGAATGTGCCCGTGGTTGCAGGGTTCTGCTGAATCACAGCTTACACAACCTCAGCCTCCCAAACTCCAGAGCCTCAGCACTGGGGCTGGGACTGTCTGGGCAGCAAGACTTTGCTCTGCAGCTTTCTGTGGCTTGGAGACACCATGGAAATGAGGAATTCGGCGTTCCCAGCATGCAGCTCCTCCAGCCTTGTCTGACCTGCCGTCAGTTCTACCCTGATACGTGAAAATAAAGACCAAAAAGCAAGCAAATACTTTTTACAAGCTCTCAGAAACTGCTGGCCTAAAGGTTTCCCTGTCATATTATCTTAAACTTCTTAAACCAGCATGCTCAACCTTCCTTTCTCTGCCTTCTGGTTCTGAATTCTTGAATGCTATTTGGGTTACATTTCAAACTTCTCTCTGTAGGTAGAAGTGTACTGTTCTTTAAAGTGGCAACTGAAACTTCAGTTGAATAAAAAACCCTAAGCAAAGCTGGAGAGACAGCAACATCTACAACTCAGAGCTGCCTCTGTTCTTCCCACATCAATTTACACTGTGGTGGCAAACACAGGGACGTAAGAGATGGAGCCAGAACGACATTGTTTAATCGAGCTGGTGGATTACACTTTGCAGCACACAGAGGTGCAAACACACATTTCTGTTCCCCTGCTGTGCCTGTGAGGAGTGACACAGGCCAGCACAGAACTGCCAGACCACCTGTCCCTCACTCCAAACCCCTGTCCCTGCTCTCTGCCCGGCTGTCACACACCCAGCACGCTCACAAACGTGTCACAGGCACCCTCGCACTCCGGTGTTTGGGAATAGCTTGTCAGCACTTCATGCTGTGTACGGGTTGGTATCTGGGATACAACCCGGGATGCCAACAGGGCCGTGTTTTCCCTCCTTCCAGGAGCTGCCTCACAAGGAGAACGGAATGTGTGAGATAAAAGGACTTTCGGAGTCTGTGCATCCTGACTTGATAGAGTAGAATCCCCAAAAATGCAATTCCTCAGAAATCCAATTTTAACTTTGGAAACATCCTTTCCCTCTTTCACACACCTCAAACATTTACCTCTAATAAAAGTATGTTACGTGTACAGGATGGCAGTCTGTGCCAGTCTTCCTTTAATTAGGGGAAAGCTGAATTCTCTCACCCTGCTCACCCCTCTCCTCCTTTGCCTGTTAGACACAAGAGCGAGCAGTTCCAAGTCATGCCTAATGTTTTTTTGCTGAACAGACTTGAAAAGTAAGATCATTTTCTCTGCTGCTTTCTTGAAGCACTCGCCCACACACACCCTCGGGGCTTACACCTAGAAAATGCCCTCTGGGAGTCTGCTCTTGGATCACTGCTCTTTAGGAGTGTCCTCACTTCCCGTTCCCCAGGGACTGGTCCCAAGCACCTTTCAGCTACTACAATTTTAATAAGCTCTTTGTGCATATCCTAAGATGATCGTACTTTGGAAAGCTAAGCTAAATAAAGCATTTAAAATAAACATTAAATGCTCTTTCACTTTGAGGCTGTTTGTTATGATCCCAGCATAAACCTCTGGACTTCTCTATCCCTGGAAGTGTTCAAGGCCAGGCTGGACAGGGCTTGGAGCAATCTGGGATAGTGGAAGGTGTCCCTGCCCATGGCAGGGGTGGAATTGATGGGCTTTAAGGTCTCTTCCAATCCAAACCGTTCTAGGATTCTGTGGTTATGATTCCAGGAGTGGAAGTGCCAGGGCAGAAATACATTTCCATGCCCCAGGTTTCTGGTAAAGCAGGAGAGGGGAGTCACAATATTCTTAGACTGTACCTAATGCAATTCACATTACCAAGCCAGAGAACACTTTCCTAAACTGTATGGGACTGGGGGAGCAGGACCATGACTGTGCTCCATTCAGGAAAGGATTCTCCTGCTCTTCTCTGTTAGCTGAGCAGGTGCCACAGCTTCCCCTGCAGTCACCTCCTACTTCTTGTACAGGGCTGTCTTATGCTTTAAGTATTTTCCTTCTAATTCCTCATGAGGAGCCCTCACAAAACTACTGAAGAGCAGATGGGAAAAATGACAATCGCTAGACAAAAAGTGCTGTACAACACAAAGGGAACAGGCACTTCTATTCCCCTAATCTTTTTAAGTGCAGGAAATCTCAGGTCTTACATGTGAAGAACAGCAAGTAATACACCTTCAGATAGAAGTACCCTTTCAAGCAAACACTTTCCCTTTACTACAGTAAGTTTTAACTCATCTTGTCGCAGGAGTGATCTTTGCTGTAATTCAGAATTCTCATGACACTCAAGAATATTTGCCCCATCGTTTCAAGAGTCCCCACATTACAAAGCTCCAACCATAAATTCTCTGTCAAGCCTCAGAGCAGCACAACCTTTTGCACAGTTTCAGGAAAGTTACAGCAATACAGCTGTTTAAACATCCAAACTAAACCCAAATTAAAGTGGGAATCATCATCTCTCCCTGTTGCAACAAGAGTAAACATAGGAAGAGAAAGAAGGCCCAAGAAATAACACTTTAGGTAGGCTTCTAGGATTTCCTGCTTGCTTAGTTATTGTGAAATTGGATATGGAAATATTTCAATTCCAAGTTTCAGTAAAGGAGTTCATATTGTTCATTTATATCCTTCATGAGATGGAGTGCAAGAATTAAAAACTCTGTAAAAATAGAGCTACAGTTAATATCTGTGGTTGGCCCCCAAGTAGACAATGACACGATTTTCATACACCTTCTTCATAGTTTTCTCAATTTGCTTCAAAAATACTTGTGGAATTCTCCCACATAAAGTGTGCACTGTATCCAGAAACTTTGACTGCAGAGGGTAGTACAAGGACTGGAAGAGATTGTCTTCAAATGGAAACTAAAGAAAAGGAAAAAAATGAATTATTTTTTTTTCACTAGTTGTGAAATGACATTTTAAAAGTTTCTGTAAGAGAAAACCTCCTATGGGTAGGGAATGACTTGTCCCTCACCTGTCCAAGGTGTCACCGAGCCCCTCACTTCAAACCCTGCCCGAGAGCATCTGCTTTCAGAGGGGTTTGTCTGAGCAAATTACCTGAAACAACCAACTCCCAGAAACTGCACTTCCAGAGCGTGCATTTACAGGAGCTTTACTGACACAGGAACACTGTAAGGAAACAGCTGTTTTGGGGAGTGCAGCTGTACACACAGCACATTCCAAGTGGACACATGCACCGTGTCTGTGTGCAAGCCTCTGCCTTCCACGTGCCCGGAGGCTCGAGGTGCTCAGGGAGGACAAACTTGCACGGGGTATCTGTGGCCCAGAGCTGCTTCCCAGCAGAAAGAACTCCATTCCAAAGCTTTTTTTCCAAGCTTCTATATTACATAAAAAGTAGTTTATCAGCCTTTGTGATTGGAAGTTTACTATAATATGGAGAAAGGTTTAAATCATCTCAAATACGAGAGAAGCCAAAGCAGCCGTGCCCTGTTGGGTCTGATGGGTTTACACAAACACAACTACCCTCAGCCTGATCTGCTGCAGGAGCAACCCCAGGAAAGCAGGAATCTACACTGAAATACAAGGAGTGCCTGTGTGGAGGCAGCAGACTCACATCACGGATCACCTCGTAGAGTGCCTTGAACGTGGGCTGCTTGTCATCGTGGTAGACGCCCCTGTTCCCATGCAGGATGGACACCCCCTCCTCCTCGGCCCCTCTGCAGTTGCTGCCGTACATGCAGTGGTCAGGCCGGTAGTTCCACTGGCAGGGGAACACATAGAGACACTCTGCCCACGTCAGTCAGGGGAGAGGGAAGGGAAAAAGACAAGTAGAATAAGAGTTAGAACAAATTAAACCATGTTTCTGTGAAAAGCTTGGACTGATGACCAGGAAATGTTTGGTTACTTCTTCTGCAGTTACCCCAAGCAGCAGCTCAGTGGAGATGCTTCCTTCCCTCAGAGGATGACTGCACACACCTCAGATGTTGGTCCTGAACCAACACACAGGGAAACACAACACAAGGGAGCCCTTTACAGAGCTTAATCAAACCCAGTGAGTACGCATCAGGTGGCACTATCCAGTGTCCTCTGCCAGAGCAAGGAGTTTCTGGAGTGAGAGGAAGGACTAGGGAAGGACACACAGCAGTGAAGGTTACTTAAAATCCCAACTCCTTTGGAGATGGTATGGGAAAACTTGCAAAGTACATCCAGTGTTTGCTGCTGAAGCTGTTGAGGAGGCCACAACAATTTGTTACACAGCAGAGCATAAGGACTCGTGTATTTTATTGACAGCCCTCCTGAGAGTTATCACCCATTAATTTCACAGGTCTGGTTTTATTTAGAGATGAACCTAATTCCTCAAAAGGGCTCGTAACTCCCTTTCTCCTACTGATTTTTTTTCAAACTCTCTCTGTGCACACAGAACTCACAATCTGCTTGTCATAAATCACACCAGTCCCTGCGACCTTTCTGCCTCGGCACTGGAGAACAATGAATCATGTCTGGTGCCAGCAGGTCATGGCAGAAGTGCTGAAGATTGAATTCATCACTTGGCCTTTCCCAGCTTCCCAGAAGTCTGCAGCTGGTCCCATGTGGCTGTTGAAGAGTAGGAGAATAAGCTTCTGAACCATTTCTTCCCCCAAGGCCTCTCAAGCAGGGGAGTTCTCCAGAAAGGGAGAACAGCCCTCAGAGCTGGGGAAAGGGAGCAGCTCCTCAGGTAACGCAGTCCTGTGTGGTTTTAACTTGCATCTATAAAAAGGCACCTGCAGCACCTTGGTCGATTCCTCTGCAGGCCAATCTCAACAACCTCAGAGAGTCCAGTTTTCTGTGTTAATTGTATCCAGGTCTTTTGTTTTCCTTTCTTGAGCAGTCTGATGTTACGTAATTCACAAAAAAATTATTTACCAGTTACAAGGAAAGGACTGTGGTGCAGAGGAGTCCCAACATGTGGCTTTGATAGAGAACACTCATCACAAAATGAAGATATTCTTGCAATCTTTGGTTTTTGCTGCACGCTTCAGTTAGCAGCTTGAGTCTGTCTTTATAACTAATCAGGCTTAATTTCTTTTTTTCCTGCAGGAGACCCTATTCCCATAACATTCATTTCTTTTGGAAATTAATTCCCGCTCTATTTTTCCCTAGGTCTAAGGGTAATGTGTGGTGTACCGGGGATGCTGATGCCTGACATCTGTCTGCAGTAAACAGATGTTTATTTATTGCTTTGCTTCTGCTCACTCCTCTTATTTGCCTGGATTTGGGTACATCCAATCACCTACCCTGTGACTCCTTGGAGAAAAAGAAAAGGGAACAGAATAAATAAAGATAAATCCAAACTTGTTTTGTTCTTAAGATCACTCCAGGAAATACAGGATCACAAGGAGACAGGAAAAGCAATAGGAATGGATACTCAGCATCCAGTCAAAGCATGAAATAAGGTTCTCAGCTTCTTTGGGAAGAATGTACTATGCTCCAGTGTTTAAATCCCTGCATTTCTCACCAGCAGGATATCTATGACACTATCCTGGAGCCTGCTGAGTGATCACTTGGCTCAGAGGCTGGAAGCATCTTCCTCCAACAGTAACTTTTAGTGAAGGAGCAGAAGCAGGGAGTGCAGCAGTTTTAGACAAGATATTCCAGGGGCTGGGTCCACTTTCTGTCCACGTTAGCCTTGTTACTCATTTGTTACTCAAAATTCTGAATTTCAGGAAAACAGGGCATAGCTTTGGAGAAAGTTTGGCAAATTTCACATTCAGAAAACATCTGAAAAAAAGCATTTTTGCAGCTACACCCTGGTCCAGTGATGCCCTTAGGCACACATACAACCTGAACTCCATTCCTGCATTTGATCATTAATCCAGTATTTCACTGTTCTCTCAAAATCTCCAGGAACATATTCAGTGGAACCAAGTCTGAGTCCCACTACCTGCAGCAAAGTCAGAAGTATTTTCATAGGTTGTAAATCCAAGGTGCACTTACACAGCATGTAACTTCGTGCCAGGGTATTTATGCAAATCATAAATAACAAATAGCCCTTAAAAGAAAAATCAAGCTCAAGAGATAATCACGACTCCAGGGATCATGACTTACCTGGGTTAAAGTAAAAAATGATATTTAGTAAGTCCTGGTCTCCCCACGTAATGTAATTTTTGTACTTTTGGTACAATGGATATAACATTTCCTCCCAAGTCAAACCACCTGGTATCATGCTGTTCTGCAGGGCAGAAAAAACAGAAGCAAGGTGTTAAAATTGTGATCAGTGCTGTGATACCTGACTCAGAGTGGGGCACACACAGCTCTGTAGGTCTGCTAAGCCATCTCAGACACCAGGTGAAAAATGGAGAACTGCCAGGAAATGTCAGACCTGGACAGGGCTGGAACAGCAGAGCTGAACGTGCTCCTGTTTACCTGGACAGGAAAACAAGGTCTCCTGGGTCCAGCTCTGATGTCAGCTCCTGCTAGTCACAATCTTCCTGTTCTGAGCAACAGCAGGGAAAAAAGGAGGAAAAGTGGAAAAATGCAGAGACAAGGTGGAAACCAAGTTATAAAACCAAGGAAAAACACAGTCTAAGGATCATCTTCCCTGGGAATTATGGTATTAAGAGCAATGTGGGTTTTTTTTGCTCCAGCTGTTCTTGCAGTGGTGTGGGAAACCCCTGGCCTTGCCTGAGGAACCACTTGGAGTGAGCAGAGTTTTAGGGATTTCAGAATATATACTCAATGAAACCAAAACCTCTTTCACAGAAGAGGGAAGATATCAGTGAAAATGCTCCCTTCTCACTTACATCAGTTCATGGAGTCACTTTTACCTGCAGCAGGATACAAAAGTCTATTTACAACAGATGCAAAAACTACCAGTTTCTCTGGACTTTCACATCAAGCTTTCCAATTTTAAAAACAACACAGCGACTGCACCGAATATCCTTGTGTTTATTCTCTCATACATTTTCAAGGGAAGGTAAGATGTTGAAGGAGCCATTTTGCTTCAGCTGCAGGTTCTCGTTTCACGTGCTTCAATAACCACGTTCACTAACTGCTTTTAGCATGCAATGATATAAATTCCCTATTTCTCTGATTCTTTATACGACAAACCTTAAATAATTTTACCCTAAGTTTTCCAAGATGCGAAAAAATCCATAAACCCTGAGTTCCTGCGACAGCTGCTTCTCCTCTCACCTTGAACTGCGTGCTGCGGATGCGCGTTAGGTTCATCAGCATCACCCCGGAGTTGACCCCCGTTGTCCCGTAGTAAGGGTGACGTGCGAAGCGGCTGTACCAGCCAATCTTGGGGATCTCGTGCTCCGGGGCCATGGCAGCCAGCTGTGTGGAGTTGAACTCCTGCAGGATGTGCCAGATGTCGTCGATGGGCCTCAGGAAGAGAACGTCGGTGTCCACGTAAAGGAGGGAATCCACATCCTTCAGGATGACCTGTTGGGGTTTGTGCAGCAAGGAGAGGAAGAGAGGGAAAAGAAATCCAGGAAGGTTATTAGCAAAAAGTACTTTTCTTTTAAGTCAATAACCTCTTCCAAATGATCAGTTTATCAGCTAAATGTAATTACACAGAGGAACAACAGTTATCAGGTTATTGTCTTATTGTTTGTTGTGGTTTTTTTTTTTTCTTTAATCTGCACATTAAAACAGCTACCAGAGCACAAAGGTTGGATTAACCTTCATATGAAACAGCAACACACTGAGCTCTCAAAAATACCTGCAAGGACTCATTCAGAAATGGGATGTAAATAATGTCTATGCACAGAGCTTTGTCAGCTCTTTTCGAGACCTGTAAGTGGTGAAGCATAGAGTGCTCTCTACAGACAAAGAGGGTAACCCAGGAGAGCAGAATATTTTCCATCTCCATTTCATATCATGTTTCTTTATGCCTTTCTAGAGACTCTTTTCCCTATTGCAACCTTGTGCTACCAATAGACTTGCATTCAGTATTAATATGTACAAGTGTTTCACATTAATTAAGACAACCCCATCAATCACAGATGTATGTGCTCCCTCCTGAAGAGCGAAATTTGCTTGCTGAACAGAAGTGTCACACTAAAACTTGCCAGCTCAGGTTCTGAGCTCTGTTACCAGACTCTATCAGGAATAAGCACAGTGAAGTTTGTCAGGTGAGGAGGGTGTGAACTGCAGATTAGAGCCAGGACATTTAATCTGTTCCTGCTGACCATGTTCCCCCTTGTGGCTACCCAAAATCCTTACAAACTCCTTCAGGAATGCCAGTGGGGCAAATTAGGAGGTGCTTCAACAGTCCAAGGAAAGTCTTGGGATGTTTGCACCTGCTATTGGTAAGGTCATTTGATAAATAATAAAGATCACTACCTACAGCTGATCAGCAGTTCAACAGCACATTTGCTGCTCTTCTTATTTGCTAAAACTGTCCAAAAATTCCTGAAGGACTGAAATTTTCTTACTTTGGTCTCAGCCAAAAGCCCTGTTTCTCTCTCTCTCCTTTTCTCTGAAAAGCAAACCCCAAAGGCTTCAGATTTTCACCAGGTTGTGGAACACAATCACTCTCTCCTCCCATTGCAATACTAATCACAAGCCCTCCTATTTATGCAGGTTACAATAAATTCTACCAAAGAAATTGGATTTTACATAAATTGAGGATTACCTGTGAAATAGAGAGAACAACATTAAGATTTTCAACAAGTGGATGAAAGGTATCACCACTAAGAACACTCAACAGGCATCCACTGAGATGCCAAATCCGTGAGTACGGACTTAAACGAGATTTTTCACCTGACTGAACACTTTAGGATTCAGATTGACATTCAGTCAAGTTTAACAAATCTCTGACCTGTATTTCTGACAGGATAACGACATGTTCTTCCAACAGAACAGGACAAGCAGGAGAAGGAAGTGTCTCTGCATTTTAAATCAAAGTTACACTTACAGCAATCTTCAAGTAAACACATCCAACACAATTCAGATCACTCTGCTGGATGGAAGGTTGTAGCAATACACCATTTTCCCACAAAAAAACCACAAACCAGCACGTGGAGATATCAATAAATGAATGACACAAAGAGTTCAATAATACTGAGTTCAATAAGAGCTCAGAGTAAATATTTCCAGATGGTAAGTATCTACTAAAGACAGCTACTTTAGATCAATAGAAGACAGACAGCTGAAAAGAAGAAAGGGGTTTCAGTTTAAGGATATTCTAGATATTCTGTATTCATTATTCTGCAGCACCTACAAGCCCTAATTCATAGAGACCTACTATATGAAGTCACACAAAAGAAAAATATAAGTTTAACAGGTGCCTATAGACACCCCTCACTCCTCTCATGCATAACCCAGGCACTGCTTCTTCCAGCAGAAAAAAAAACTCCTATGCATTCAAGCAGGTATTTCAGTTCTTGGTGCAGGGGATGCCTACCAGCACCCGACCCCACCTTATATTCCTCCTCTCAGGGTTCACACTCCTTGCTGGTTCATCACTCTTCCCTCTCCTGTGTCTGAGGTGTTGCCCTGCAGTGACACCCAACAGGCTGAAGAAAAAAAAAAAGCTGTACTACCTCCTTTAAGATTTTCACACTTTTCTCTTTCACGTGTGGGATGTTAAGACTCATTTAAAACCTGGAGATGTGAGTTTGAATTGCTCAGGTGCCTCCTGGCTGTGCCCTGGGGAGGATTTCATGTCCCCAGCTGGGGCTGTGACAGTTCCTCACATTGCAGGAACATGCAGTGCAGCTTAAAAACAACACACAGCTGACCTGGAGCAGCAGCCACACCAGGCTGTGTGTGCAGGTCTGAGCTCACACAAACCATGCAGACACACCTGACAGACCGGGATTTTGGGAAGGAATGGCCAGGAACACGCCTTGACTGTGCTTGTCTTCCCCCTCACTCTGCAGGCACTTCCAGCTTAAAAGAAGTGTGGGGTTTTTTTTTGCTTTGCAGCTACAGAGAGTATTCTTGGTAAATCTGTCAAAAAGTTCTGCACAGAACTGGCTATATTTAGCCTGGCACTTCACTTAAATACTCAATTATCTGTAATTTGATTTCACAACTTCTGTCTCCATAGATTCTCCCTGTGTTAGCAAGGTTAGCAAGGAATAACACACTCCTGGGTAAACATGCTGGTGCACTGTGAAGCTGGGCTACCTCAGGGTTTGCGAGGGCTGGCCTGGCAGCCTATCCCAGCTTTATCCAGAATTAGGGACAAATCACAAAGCTTGATGCTAATGTAACAGTACCACACAGCTGAGTTAGTAAACTTAGTTGTAGTAAGCAATTAACTCAAATTACAACAGAGACCTTTGTATAGATAATGCCCTGGTATCTATTCCCAGTGCTGCCACCAATCCACAGAGTTGGATACTTGAGCATCCTCAAGAGGAAAGCTCTAACACAGGGATATTGCTAATCTACCTTAAAAGCTCTTTAAGTAGATTAAGTGTTTTGAGAAGGGTTCTAAATGTTCATCCCAAAATCATCCGAAAATCCCTTAAGTATTTCAGGATACTTTAGCTGATTGTTTTGGTAGCTCCAGACCAGCAGCAGGGTGACAGCTGCTGCCAGCTCGTGCAAGATCAACATCCCTGGGACCAGAGGACGTTCTTCACTCGCTGTCTTAACATCCATGTCAGTACTACAAACCACTTTCAGGTGACTGGTGAGAGCATTACCCTCCTAGTTTATTGTTACAGTTTCTTTTTGTGCTCATGTAAAGATCTCCATCCTCCTAACTTTGTTTTCACAAATGCCCTGGATGGTTTTACTGCAGCAAAAGATTGGGGCTTGTGAGATTACACGGAGGCTCAACCTGCATTATCTGCATCTAAGTGGCTAAACGTGATCAGATGTCACAGAATGCCTCTAAAAACGCAGGAGGCTGCACAATCTTCCTCAGTATTTTAGCATCCCAGGTAGATTTAACAAGCTGGGAATGTGCATCTCAACCTGTTACCCAGGACAGAAGAGTTCCTCACTGCAAATGCAGGGTCCCCTCCCACAGCTCCAGATTTATCAGCCAGTAAAACCACTGAAAGGTTCTTACCCAATTTTCCCTTAGCACATTCCTCACACCCTCCTGTCCACTTTCACACGCCTGCTGGTGCTGCAGAGGAGATTTCTTTGGCAGGAGAGGCACTTGTGAATCAAAGACTCACATTCCACTCGGGCTTAGCATTATCAGGAGCAAGACAATTTGCACAACTGAGAGCTAAACAGCTGATAAACTCAACTACTGCTCCCCTGGGGTCCTCCCTAAATCCAGGCACATTTATGCTGCTGCAGGGGAAAATGCTCAGTACAGGGAAGGATAAGAAAAAAATTACGCTGACATCCTGCTGGTATTTATTTTAAATAAAAGTCAGAATAGTTATCTAAAGAATAACACTTGGAACCCTCCACTCCTGCTGCGTGCAGACTGTTCAAATGGGATGTCAGAACCCAGTTATCAAGCACCAAAACAAAAATAATGATGGCTGAAATTGCCCAGAAACAGCCCAAAGTTCTGTCAGCCTGCAGGCTCGAGTACCAAAGCCCAGCTGGACACTTGCCACCTCAGCTTGTTTCCTTTACTATATCCACATCAGCTCGGTGTCAGCTGCAGCTCCTCCAGGAGAACCCCCCCTATTCAAAGACATAAACCTCAGCCTGACCACACACAACATTTTGCAACTGCCCCAGGAGACACAAACATTTACAGTCCAAGCTGCCTCCTTGTTTTGCTAAGACAATGTGCAGCAGTCTAACATTCTTTACAAGTTACTGGAGAACTTCGGCAACGTGTGAGTGACAAAAAGGAATCCATAAAAGCACTGCCCAGCCTGAAGGAATCAGCATGAACCCCTTTCTGTGAGCAGAAGGGTGATGACAAATGAAAGTGAAACCATAGCCACTGCTGTGTTAGTCCACCAAAATAACAGAAAATACCACAGAAATACGAAGAGCAGAGATTTGTTTACCCAGCACATCCTGACAAACACTCTGTATTGAACAAGCCAACGCTCAGGGATTATTTCCCAGGTGATACAAATATTTACTCAGGGAATAGAGGATCCCTGCTGAAGCTGGAGTTACTTTCAGCCCATCTGGCCTTTGTGCAGTTGATAGCCCACCCCTAAATGGCAGATCAACAGAACTGCTGACAGCACATATTTTCTCACATATGTATTCATAGGCTACGTATCTGGACGTGCAGCTGTCTCCTGATTGCTTCCATCTGACAGAGTAAAGATTTCTTTGTTCCCCCCCACCTCTCATAAGACAGCAATGAAGAAATTTGGACCATATGAACAGCTTGTCACTTCACTGGAGTCACCCCAACCACCAGCAACGCACGAGATATTTTTGATAGATGTTCTCAGTTCCACAGAAACTGCTTTATGCAAAAGTTCTTTTCATTTCTGAGATGCAAAATTGTTATCAACACTTGCCTTCTCTCCAGCAACCTTCAGTATTTTCCAAGTTTCTGACACTGGGTATTATACAGTAAATAACACAGCTTTTCAGTGAACTTGAAGATCCCAGGACACACAAAGCTCTTGCACAAAATCTAACTTTGAGCACCCTGGAATTGCTACCTTAAGGGTAATTCTGACAGTCTTGGAAAAAGAAATAAAACTCAAGTAAAAAGGGATTGCTGAGAGCATCAGGGCTAACATATGGAAAGGAAGATGGTGTGTGACGAGGACATGTTGAAAAGAATGTTATTTACAGAAGGCATGCAGCATCTACCCCAAAAGATCTGCCCTGAGAGAGCTCTCACACTTTCTCTGGAGTCTGGAGAATGTGGAGAGCCCGAGAGGCTCCTGGAACTGGAGACAAATCAGAAACACACATCCTTTGTTAGCCGAGGAACAGCCAGGCTGGGTTTCTGCGTTGTTTTTCGCAGTGTCTGAAGCACAAACCAAAACATATTTATGCAGATGTTTGGGCCTGAAAACGCTTTTAACGTTCCATCAGCAAAGCTGCCTTTCTCTGGAATTAACCTTTTCCTGGAGTAAGCTCCTCAGAAATCCAGGTGCCTTACCGGAAGGAAGAGGCGCTGGGCTGCACATGGTTTGAATAACTTCTTCCACTCCTGAGCGTTTCCCACTGAGAAGGTTATGGGGTAAATGTTGGATTCAAACTTCTTGGTATATGAGGAAGGCCACTCCTTTAACTGAAAGACACGATGGGAGGAATCAGACACTGCATGTTATAATTGTACAGCTTTTTAAAAAAAAAACCTACGCATGCATAAGGAATTTATAACTGTGTACAGTAAACAACAAGCTGGGCTGCTGCTTGCTGATGTCTGTGTAATTCTTCTCAGAGACTTGCAACTTACAACTGAGCACGTTTATTTATTTATTTATTTACCAAACGACAAAGAAACTCACCTTCTTCTCAAATTCAGGCTTAAGGGAATCCTCAGCAAAAATGTGAAAGCAGAGCCTCCTGTTGCTGAAGAGAACTGCTGATTTCAGCATGATCAGCGTCTCCTCCAGCCGGTCCCCACATGCCACCACTGCCAGATGCATGCACTGCAAGGGTGAAGGCTCCTTCGGATGTTTCTGTTCGCCAGGCTTCCTGAAAATTCAGAAATAGGCATATAAAAATTACTGAGGGAAACATGAAGAGAATCCCGCATTAACAGACAGCAGGGTTTTATCTTCCCCTTCCTTGTGTCAGGGGTCAGGAGTGTTTTGTGGTTAGGTATCCCCAGAACATGCACTGGCACACTCACTTTTGTCAGTGGTACAGATCAAGAGTGTTACAGTTATAACACAAAGAAATTTGCTATTTTCAGAAATTTTCCGTTATTCCTACATTTCTGGATCTGCATAAATCACTACAGACACAGATGAAACTAATTCCACAGCACCTCAAACCAGACACCACCTTGCTCTGTGCAAGCTCCTTTCCCAGCTCAGAGGTCAGGAAGCCAGAATGGAGTTACTACTACCCAGCCAACTTTCTAACACATTGCAGATCACACAACTACATCCAGCAACTTCGTTCCCAGGCTTATAATGGCTAGACTGGAAGAAGACATCCATACTTTAAAAAAAAAACAAAAAAACAACACTCCATCCATATGTAAATTGTTCTAACAGTTAATTAATTTTGCTGTTAAAGATGCATGCCTTAATCCTGGCCTGAAGGCACTGGCACAGTTTCAAAGGACTGCTCTCCATTTCACCCCATGGAATCACTGGGATTTTGCTAAAATAGAGAATTTTGAAAACAAACATATTCACATGTCCCAGATGAGTCAGACTATGTTCCACGAGTGGTCAAGGGGCAAACGATGGGGTTTTCACTTAGCACCCACCTGTGTGGGATTTATATCCATTTCAGCCAGACTGCAGGGGAATCTGCACATAAAAGGCACAATGTACCTGCTGGCCAGAAAGATCAGGGCTCTCCTGGGGAGTTGAAGATGTTTGAAAGCACAGCCTTTTGGTTCTGTGTGTCCCCCAGTTCAGTGTGGAGCTAAAAACTCCATCCTCCAGGAATGTTTCTCCATGTTGTACTCACATCCTAACTCAGATGGCACTTACATTACATGGGATGAGCCGACCAAGGAACTAAATTACAAGCACAGTAATCACTCTTGGAGAGTTCAAAAGGCAAATCATAGATCACTGCCCTTTCTGGACATATCTGTGACATCAATCCTGAGCCCTTCTCAGCACACATAATTGCATACACACAATTAATCAGTAAAGTTAATAGTACCAACAGAAGTTCTAAATAAAGAGAAAAATGGGAGTTATAAAGCTGTTATTCTTTTTTTACAGACATCAGAATGCTGCTTTGTGAAACAACAGAGTTCTGTCCTACAGAGAAACTCACCTCTGTGTAAAGGAACACCATCTACTGGCACTTTACTGACTATCCAAAGCAACATGTTTCATTAAGGGTTTAAAGTCTTCTGCTTTAGTCTTAATTAACCCCCAATTTCATCAATGTATAAATAATGGAATACTACATCTATGTGAAGTGGTATTTACTTTCCAACCTATTAGTGTAAAATCCGCTGAATTATTGAAGTGAATAATTAGCTGCTCACACAGATCACCTTTTCCCCCTTCTCCCTATCTGTTTAATGTTTCTTCTTAATTGAGTCTCTAAATCAAGCCATTGGCAGCCTGGGAGCTGCTTTGATGTAGCTTGTGGCAGTGGAATTCACCGGGAGAGGGACTAAACTACACTTTTATTGCAACATTTCAAAACCCAACACCGAAGCACTCGGCTTTGCCGTGCAGTTTTAGCCACGAGCTCTCCATTATGCAGCTATTTTGTAGTGAAAAATCCAGTGTGTGCAGACAAGCACTCCCAATGGACAGACTCAGCAGAAGCAACCCTTGATGAAACCAGAATTCCCAGTAAGCCCATTGGAGTATGGATAACAAGAGACATCCTGCCTCCCACCCCAGCGAGTGCAGGGCAAAGCTGAGCCTTGGAGGTGAGGAATTATCAGTTGCAGAGGGGGTCAGGAGCCTGTCATGGCTTAGGGAGGAATAAAATGCCTGAGAAGAGGGGCACGAGGTAGTGCTTGAACTGTGTCAGGAACAGTCTGGGACTCTGAGGGCAACAGTTAGTGAGGAAAGTCACAATGAGGTACAGAAGAACTTTGGGACTCAACGTTTTGCGTATTTTTTATAAGTACACAAAGAAAATTAGAGGATTGTGGAAACAAAGGTGAGCTGGGACGGGAGACAAAATGCCACAGCAGGATGCATCTGACCACCGTTTTAACCTAGCCCTTAAAAAATAACAATTACGATCCATAAGCCTGAGGAGAGGAAGGTGTAAAGGCAAAGTCAAACTGCCAGGAAGGCAAATGAGCAGATCACAGCACAGAACATCACAGCTCCCCTTCCCTCCTCTGCTCATCCACACACAGTGCAAGGAGCAATGGAAGGGACAGGGAGAAACATCAGCTGGAGGAAAGGATATTCCTTAAAGATCTGCAGGATACAGCCACGTTGTCCCACCTGTTCAATGGGAACAGCTGTTAGAGCAGTAAGAGTTCCCCACCTCAAGAGACTCCCAAGCACATTAAAAAGCCCACAGATCCACATTAGCCAGTTCTTCCTAACATTTATAGGCACATTCATCCATTTACACTCCAACTTGTTGGTTATGAATAGAGCCTATAATCGGATTTTATAACCTAAACTAAAGGTATTTAAATGCATCTAAATCAATACAGTGACCTGGGCCTTGAAGTTTAATGTGTTTGACAGGAGCAAATAAAGAAACCAAGATTATGCTCTACAGAAAGCATCACAAAATACAGAGGTGATAAGAGGGAGCACAATAAAATGTTTATAACAAAGACCTCCCAACAATACAGAGCAGCTCCCATCCAGTTGTTCACTGGTATTTTATTTTCTGCACACACTTTTTCTCAGGCAGGCACTGACACAGCAGGAGCAGCCTGAGTGCTCAAGCACAACAGTGTACATTTCTAGGTCTTAAAGTTTAGATTACATGTAATTTTCTTATTAGTCACAGCCAAAGTGTCTCAAACATAATTAACCCAAAACCTGTCTAAATCAATCCAAATCCATTCAAAATAATGCATTCCCATCTCATTACAGAGCCTGCTAATCTATTCAAGCCTTCAAATTTATTCCTGAGAGAAAGATAATGCATGCAGATTCTTACAAAATGCAATATAGTTGTTAATTTTTGAAACCTTCTTCATATTATGATCTCATTTACTGTTGCAGCACAAACAGGGTTCGATTTAGGCGTTGTATCCAAACTGGTGATTCACTGAACAGGCTCCTTCCCTGACAGTCACCCCTGAGTCAAAGTCCCAACAGCAGCTCCATGATACAAAACACATTTTCTCACACACTTTAAAACATAAATTAGAAAGGCTCCAAATGTTTTTAAACAGAGTTTTCTCACTTCAGTGCAGTTGCACAAAACCAACTGTAGCTGCTGACAATCAAAAAAATTGAAGTTTCAACCTCCTCGTACTGCTCAGAGAAAGGGGAAAATGACACTGAAAACCAGAATGGGTGTTTCTATCTCCTGTTATCAAGTGGGTTCTTTGTGAAATAAATATTAAATACTCGGGTCTTCAGCATGTTATTATCAAACTCGAGCCAAACTTGTATGTGTGTGCACACAGGCTGTGAAGGGAGAAAAATATCTTGACAGGTTGCCATGCAAGAGATGTTGTGCTTTGGAAAAGTTACTTTCAGGGAACTAAATGTGCTGGCAAAGGTTCCCTTCCTGAGCCTTGCCACGCTGGTTTAATAGAGAGCATGGTCACATCTGCCCCTCAAATGTAAAATAACCCTTCTGCTTTCGGATACTTTGCAAACACTGGTTTGGCACATACTTAAAATTCTTCATATAAAAAATGTCTTACTGAAAGCCTAGGACTTGCTACTTCCTATATGAAGGAGCAGTAAAACCAGCATCAAAAATCAGTTTTCAAAGCTAACCAGAAACTTAAATTCAGTGGTCACCTAGATTTGCCAAAATTATCCAAAGGCCAAAGCAGGACCCATGAATGTCATCGATAACATTTGCTAAGTACCAGCCAGCTAATGATATGGGCATACATGAAGCTTTCATCACATATAACTATTTATGTTAGAAGAAATCTGTACTTAAAACCTAAAACCTGTTGTCTTCTGTCATTATGTGAGCTACAGAAAGCAGTGTTACAAATCCCAGCTAAAACACAATTCACCTCCAAGTTCAAGCCCCTCACACTCCTTTCAGCCTCGCCTGGATCAGGACTTTTAAGCCCAGCAGATCCTACCACCTGCTGCCTTCCCAAGAATTCAGACATCACCTCCACTTGGACCAGGTTATGTCACACCTGCCCCACAAAAATTCTATTTTGATGGAGATCCTCGCCTGAATACATTAAATCAGCACAGCATCCTTCAGCAAAGGGCAGAACTGGACCCACACAATTGTGCTTCTCAGTTATACAAACTGCTGGGGCCAATGGTGCAGGATCATGAGGGAAAAAACAACGACCAAACCCCATAAACAAATAAAATTTTCAAGAAAAGGCATGGTTTGAATACAGAATTCCTCTTTTGTTGTTGTGTTGCAGACCTTGTAAAAAGTACTTGCAAGGTCAATAAATAATCGAATAGTTAGATAATGTCAAAGTTTGAAACATGAAGATGCTACAGAGAAGCTCATTGAAATAGAACAGTTGTTTACACTCCTGGCAGCTCCATACTTTTCCAGGCTCCCTCCTTCAGTGTTCTTCTTGATTTCCATGATAATTGCAGAGATATGCCTTAAAGAAAAATGACTTCAGGAGGTACAGTTGCTAGTGGAAATAATCCTGCTTTAATACAGGCATTTGGATTCTGCCTGTGACCCATTCTCAGCCCCAGTAAACATCTCCTGCATTCAGTGGGGTAACGATGCTGGTGAGAAACCAACTGCCTTAATAAGTTAAGGAGTAAGAGCTCAAAAAACAGGAATAGTCTTTTCATTCAGAACATCTCTGTGAAATCATGAATCAAAGACACAAAGACATACCAAGTTAATTAGATATATGAGGTCACACTGACCATAATATAATTGG